AGCCCCATTAGCTTTTGTACTTGAGAGCCTCCAAAGTGGCTAGAATTATAGATCTGTACCACCCACCTCCACTCAATCATCTTCTATTTAGTGTATGTGTGTGGATGTGGGATGGGATGCCTGCATGCCACATCACAAAGGACACATGCAGAGGTCCAAGGACAACTTGAAGGAGTCAGTTCTTTCCTGCTGTCATGTGGGTCACAAGGCTCGAACCCAGGCTGTCAGGACTGGCGGCAAGCATCCTTACCTCCAAAGCCGCCACAGCAGCCCTAATCTTTTCTGAATAGAATTCATTGACAACCACTTTTTGCGTCAGTTTGTTTTTAATTTGAAGATTACATTTTGCAACCTTCCCACGCCCTTCTCTTCCCCTTCCAACTCTTTTTGTGTCCCCCAAAACCATCCCTCTCAAATTCATGACCTCTTCTTCCACACTAATCTTTATTAAATATGTATGTATATACGTGTATATACAGCATACTGTGTCTAATTAATGTTGCCCTTATTTTCATGTGTTTAGGACTGGTCTCTTAGGATTGGAGTCTCAAAAGAGAGAAAGGGAGAGGGGGAAAGAGAGAGAGAGAGAGAGAGAGAGAGAGAGAGAGAGAGAGAGAGAGAGAGAGAGAGAGAGAGAGAGGAGAGAGAGAGAGAGAGAGAGAGAGAGAGAGAGAGAGAGAGAGAGAGAGAGGAGAGAGAGAGAGAGAGAGAGAGAGAGAGAGAGAGAGAGAGAGAGAGAGAGAGAGAGAGAGAGAGACTGGTTCTCTTTCCCTCTGTCAGCAACCATCGACTGCCTGTAGCGCTTCACCTAGGGGTGGGGTTTTGTGAAATTTTTCTCCATCCATGTTGCCATGCCAATTGCGGTCTTTTCAGTCTTGTGTAGGCAGCCATATTACTGACAGTTCATGGGAACAACATCCCTGTCCTGCCCAGACGACACTATCGCACAACGGAATTTACAACCTGTTAAAAAGGCTAAAATGCCATTGCTCTTAGCAAGGACAGGAGAATTCCCCAACAGGAAAGGGGACCAGAATGACCCCTCCCACCACTCATTCTCTACAGACCGGTGGACTATGATATGATACAGAACAAGATGATGAGGAAGGCATTAAGAATCTTGAAATCCTTTGAACCTTGAGATGGTTGCCTCATCACTCATATACTAGCTTTTTAAATATTTCTCTATAAGATAAAGGGAAAGGGTGGGGGGAAGGCCAGCCTCTCTTATGTGCACAGAAACCCCCAGAGATCATATGGAAATGCAAATTCTGATTTGGAGGTTTTTCAGGGCCCTGAGATCTGTACTGTAACCAGTTCCCAGAGATGCGTTTTGCATCAGAGGGTAGATAGGATTGTCATGCCCTGCATAGTGAACGCTCTTTATTTTCATACAGATGTGTCTCCCTGAAGGTTTAAACCAGTGACTTCCCCACTCCTGGATGAGGTCAGTCCTGGAGGATAAGAGTTTGTTGGAGCAGGCAGGAATACTGCTACAGAAGCCCTCAGCTTGGGGAGGGAGGCTGGAATCCTCACACCAAAATGATAGTGCAAGAGGTGTGCTACATATCTCCAAGGAAGATGAGGTCTGGGATAAGGAGGCCAGTCATCAAGAGGAATTACAGAACAGGTAAGTGGAAATTATCTTAAAACTTTTGCAAGCCTTAGGTGCTGCCTGGAAACGTACCTTTCATGACATAAACTGAACTAGAATAAACCATGACATTGCTTTGGTTTTGTTTTTGATGCTCTTTTACTTGTGTGTGCTCCATAAAAATTTGGCAAAATGATATTCACCCAAAGCAGAAAAAAGACCCAAGTCTCTGACTTATCCTAAGAATTCTCTCTACTTCCTTATTTACAGGATAACCAGACCACAGAAAACTGGACAGCCAAACTCACTCCAAGTCCCCAACACTATCTCTACCCAAAAGTTAGCATGATTAAAGAAAGAAAGGACTTAAAGACTATGAAAGTCTTTCCTTTGGTGAGGGCATATCATAAACATTTTAATTATAAGTAAACAAACAGAAGTTCATGAGTATATAAAAAATTACATTAGTTTTACACAGTCAATGCAGATTCACAGTTAAACATAGAAAGCCTTATGGACACCCCCCTGTCAGGTAGCAAGGCAAGCAGGCATAGACTTGTAAGGCACTGAACTCTTTGCACTCACAATCAACTTTCAACCACACCTCCCATTTGTACTGGTAACACTCTAATTTTAAGAAAGGGGAAATATTGCAATTGACCTCCATAGAATTTAAAATACCATGAGAAAGGAAAGAGGTATCATGTTTGGGTGCGGGTAGTAGAGCTAAGGTACAGCTCACAAAGGAAAATCCATTTTCTCCTGGTAAAATGTGGTTATAGATTTTTTCTTTAATTCTCTGTAATATACTGTTACATAATTTCCTTTTTTAATTAAGGAATTTTTTATTCATTTTGCATATCAACCACAGATTCCCTTCTCTTCCCTCCTCCCACCCCTCCAGCCTCCCCCACAACCCACCCCCATTCCCTTCTCCAACAGTTTAGACTGTTACATTATTTTAGTCTAATATTTTATTTATTCTTTGAGAATTTCACACAATATATTTTGGTTATATTCACCCCCAGACTCCTCCTAGATATACCTACATCCCTACATCCCTCTTCCAACTTCATGACTCCTCCCACGTTTAAAATAATCCAGAGTCCAATTAGTGCTCTCCATACCCTCGTGGGTGTGAAGTCATCCACTGGAACACAGTCAACCGACCAGGGACCACACCCATAAAGTAATCTGACTCTCTCCTACCTAGTGGCCATCAACTGTCAATAACAGCTCCTCAGTTGGGGGCAGTTCCTCCCGACTCCGTAATATCAACCAGCTTGATCTTGTTCAGGCAACCACAGCTGCTGTGAGCTCATGCGGACAGAGGTCCAGTTACATAATCTTTTATCCAAGGAAAGATAACTGAATTGCATCTTTGACTCTGGGTATAAACATGGCATTGCAACTGCTCAAAAGATTATAAGATTACAAAAACAGGATGAGCGCTCAGTAGGCCTTTACTACTACTACTACTACTACTACTACTGCACACATACACACACATGTATAAATACACATATGTAACAAAAACATGCCATTGCATCCTCCCTTAAGTGTTAATCTAAATGGGACTGTCAATCCTAGACAGAAAACTACCACTCACGAAAACTATCTGTTATACCCGAAGACACATTAAGAAGATTGGAGGGGGAAATATCCCCTTAATGAGCTCTATACCCTAGATGTCTTTCTCTCCATGCAGTTACTAATAGATCCTCACTGCTTAGCCTGCTCTCTGAGTTCTAATTTAAAGAACATAATCTTTCCTTCCTCCACTTTCTGTCCCTTTTTCAAGTACTAGCCCAAATCCTAAGCCCCCTTGCCCTGGCATGCTGGGCATTCCCATCTCTAAAGAGCACTCCATCCTTTGAAGCAGCTGACAAGAGATCGCTACCTCAGAAAGTATGGCTTCCTCTCTTCCTCTTACCCACTTCCCTCCTCCCAGAAGCTGCCAGGAGTTTTCTTCTGGGTCTGCTTAAAAAGCTTTTTTTTTTTTAACATATGAGACTGAACCTGCAAAGGTTGTAGGAAAAGATAAGGGCACGCTCATATTTCACAGCAGCACATTGAGTACTTCTTGTAGGAAGGAGTCTGCTTGTCCACACGGTGACTAGCCTGGCACACATACTAACTGTTTAATTGGAGTTCGCCTTTAACCTAGACACATACGTAGGTGGTGCCTCTGTGCAGGGTCAGTGGCCTTCGGGGACAGAAGCACTGCTACACAGAGAAAGATGATAATTAGTGGTCATATAGGGGACAATGAGGGCAGATTCACCAACACTGCGAATCTCCAAGGCAAAGCTGACCTCCACACCACAGAGATACGGCTAAACTTTGCAGAGACTCACACTAGCTATAGCTGTAGATGGGGAGAGACTGGCAGATTTGGGGACATTGCCTCTGTCTTCCCAGATTTCTGGCTCTCTGAATAAAATGCAGCTTGAACTCAATTCCCGTTTCTTCTCTCTGTTTTTTGGTGTGACAGGCATCAGGAATTTTAGCTTTTCATTTATAAAAGGGAACCCCTGACTTCCCAGTAACATTCCAAGGTAACTTCTTAATACATTACACTTGTTCAGAGGAATTTGTATGGAAAGAAGAAGGGAAAGTAGAGACAGAAGCAGAGGAAAAAGTCTTCAGACTTGGATTTGGCTATCCCTTTTGATGACTCAAAGCTTGAAAAAGATCCAGACAGACAACAGAGTAAAAGGAAACTGTTCCACCAAAGGAGTTTCCAAAGATTGTCATCCTCAGTACATACACACAGATTTATTTAAATGGGGAGAAACATAAATTGGTCTTTTAGAATGTAAAGTTATCCCAACTGAAATAACACGTGAAATATTTCTAAAAGAAAAATCCAGAGACATAGTCCAAATATTCATGAGTCCAAAAGCTCTTCTTATACCTAACATCCTTACATCCAAGGGTATCAACTATAAAGAATAACAATACTAGAATATCCTGACAAGTACAGTATTAAGACTTTAAATGACCAGAGAGACAAATAACAGAAAACACGTTCAAAAGTCAGACTTATAACTCACCAACCTCATGAACCTGAAAGTCAGAGCTGGGAAGAATGGCCTTTTAAAAATAGCTACAAATAAAACACCTTGTGTGTGCATCACTGAGCAACTGAAGATCGTCTTCCCTGCAAATTAAGTCTTTGGTTACACACGACTTATATGATTCAAACAGCACTCTGTGCAGCCTGTGGGAAGACCAGGGCAAGGAAACAAGACCGAGTTGAAAATTCCCATATATTGGCTCCTTCTAGATCCGAGCTTCTGCCACCAAACAAAGCCAGAAAGGTGCAAATATACTGTTTTAGTTATTTCCATTTCTTGTCTTCATCATTGGTGTTTCCATTTTATCTTCAATTTTAACTAATTTCTTATTCACAGAAGAAGTCAATATCCTGGGGGAAAAAAAGATTGAACTTTCAGGCTATACAAAAAAAAAGCACATGTAGATTTTTTAATTTAAAGTAAGATTTAATAATAGAGAAATTTGGATTTATGATAAGTCAAGGTTGAAAACCCAAGGATTTGAAATAATTATCACTTTAAGTCAAATATCATTTAAAATGAAGGTCTTCCAATACATCTCTAGTTGGTAGTTACGACCGATGACGCACAGTACCACGATGTAATGACAGGTGAGCCACATCTGTTAGGCTGGGATAAGTTTGATGCACAACCCTCTTGCAAAGGAGCTTAGAAAGGATCTTTCTTTTCTGCCACAGTTTACAGGGCCCCAGGGCAGTGGGAAGAGCAGGATTTTATTTCATGCATAGGTGGAGTCTTATCTGCCACAAAGATAAGACTCAAAGAATTTTCTAGAATATTTTGACCTTCTCAAAAACATTGGTGCTAATTTTTTCTTCATCAGAAAGAACAGCTTAGTAATTTTTTAGTTCCTTTCTCTGTGGCATAGATGCCTTCCAGGATAACTTACATTTAAAACAGAAAGAGAATTGTGTTGTATACTTGAAACATGCTAAGTCGGTCTTCATTAACACACACACACACACACACACACACACACACACACACACACACACACATACACGAGAGAGAGAGAGAGAGAGAGAGAGAGAGAGAGAGAGAGAGAGAGAGAACAGAGAGGTAGGGTAACTATATGAGGTTGCAGGTGTGAATTGTCAATCGGCTTTGGCAGGATGATCATTTTATGATGTCTATATACATCAAAACATCAAGTTTTACATATTCAATATACAATTTCACTGGTCAGTTATATCCCTGATAAATATAAAATACAGTTCTTAAAAATTGAAGCATTTAAAAAATCAACTCAGCATGATTGTAGTGTGTGAAGAAAGTGTGCCAACCTCACAAGGTTGATAGTCAATATGTACATTCTAAATGTCACTATCTCATAAAAGTCATCTGTTTTATGCAGCATATACTGTAAGTTGAAGGACACACTCCTTTTTTTAGAACAAGTCTATACTACTCCAAGATCCGAATCATCCTCCAGTCACCTTTGAGATGCTTACCGTGGTTGGGACTTCCTTGGTGGCCTCCTGGTATACTCGTTGCTCTTCAACCAAGTTGCAGGGGAAATAGCCCACAATTCCCATCTCGTCCTGGTGGTCACCGTAAACCTGTGTGCCCAGAACAGCAGCAGTCAGGAAAAGCTGATGTCAGGGGATTTCAGAAGCTTCTTTCCTCATAATGAAAATGACATGAGCCAGAGCTTCCCTTGTGCTATGCATTCCAGGGAATTCAGAGCAAATCTGAAATTCACTGTTAGCACCAGGAGCTGTGTGTCTGTTCTTTTGGGGGAGGATCTGACTGTCTTGCTACTTTAACATGACTTCACTTTCTGCAGTTTCATAGCTTGCCTGAGGTCTTCTGAATTCTATAAAAAATTAAGGTCAATAAAAATTTTAAAGCAAATAGACACTCATTTTAAAATATGTATACTTCCCACTTCTTGACAATTCAAAGGGACATATTGTAGTGGGTAGCCATTCCAGCTTTGATCTGGAAGTTCCCCATTCTGATTGAATCCTTCATCAATTTAGAGTGTGTCTTTGGGATAACATCAACAATGCTTCATCCCTCCCTGGGCTCCGCTTGCTTTGTGGGTACATTTTAACTCAAGAAAGCAGCTCCTGAAGAACCAAAGAGGCTTCTAACTTTTCCTAAAGGAACATTCTATTTAGACTGACCACTAACACGTAACTCTTCCTCTTGGAAAATTCTCTAGACATTTTTTGAAAGAGACTCAACTTCTAGCAATGAAGATGCCTCCGCATGCATGGTTTTTTTGCTCCTCAAAATATCATTTTAACTTACCTTCAATTTTTGTCACGAGATTTTTTTTTAATACGATAACATAAAATGATTTGAATTTTTGTGTTTCCGTTTACATTCCCCACATTGTCTTTAGAACTACTATTAGGCATTAAAAGGGTTGAAAATAAGAAAGTCAGGAAAAGTTAAGAGTAAGTTAAAGTAAGAAATATATATGTTTTAAAAAAATCTCATCTTACACTGCCAGCCCAAAACTCTCCAGCTCCATTTTCTTTTACCAACTTGGAGTAAACATAGATTTGCTGTCCTTTCTTGACATTGATGAACCTACAGTCTGGGGCATTGTAATCGTCCTGTGCTTTAGCCAGAGAAATAGTATCTGGAAGAAAAAAAAAAAAAAGGAAGTGACTGAATCTCCTAAGAGTAAAAAGGCAAAGCATATGCGGAAAGTAGAAAAATCCAGCTGGGCTGCAAACGGAGAGAGAAAGCCAGAAGATTAAAAGCTGCAACAAAATCTTAGGCAAGTGAATTCTCCACAGTTAGACACCAAACACAGACCACAAGACACAGTGCTGAGAACGCACACACATTTAAGATTCACTACAAAGTACAAGCTGGCTTTACACCAGACATAGTTTTGATCATATGATAGTAAGATAAAGCAAACTGAACTGTTAACAAGTCCTTACAGACACACTCCTCATCTGCACACAACTTCTTAGAAGAAAGTTTTTCCATAAACACTCCATGCCCGGCACATAGAGCCACGAGGCTCCCAAGCAAAAGAATCAATACTTTTGCCATCTTCCTTTTTCGAGGTTTGGACTAGCATGCCTTGCCTGACTTTGGTGGTTCTTTTATTTGAAAGCCAGACCTCTAGGTAAATACCCAGCCAATAGGAAGGGGCCACCCCCACCCTTGCTTTCATATCGTGTGTTCCTGGATTCCAGAGGCTTTTTAGCATTTCATTTCCCAGAAAGAGTCAAATTCCATGTCTGTGTTCCACACAAATGGTACACTATGGTTAAAGTTAAGTCTGCCATGGCTTGTGCTGTCCACCAGCAGGGCACTGTTGAGAGGACTGTGAGAATGCCAAGCATTGTTGATTTTCCTGTTTTGCCCCCGCCCCTATCCTTTCAGGGTATGAGCAAACGTTTGTGGAAGGTAGAAATCTGTTCAAGATGTAAAACAGGCTGGGGAGACAGCTGGGTGGACAAAGTGCTTGCTGTGTGAGCGTGAAGAATAGGGTTCAGAACCCCAGAGCCCCCACACAAACTGAACAGGCGTGGTGGGCCAGCACTCTAGAGACAGACATGAGGCAAGATGGCTAACAAGACTAACGAATTGGCAAGTTCTGGGTTCAACACAAATTCCAAGAAATAAAAGAGAAAAATTGAGGAAGACAGTTAATGTCAACTTCAGGCCTCCTCCGGAACACATATGCATCCACACACATGTGAACACACCACACATACACACACACACCATGCCACACACATATACATTTTAAAAAAGTAAAAATGTCCCAGCACTCGGGAGGCAGAGCCAGGCGGATCTCTGTGAGTTCGAGGCCAGCCTGGGCTACCAAGTGAGTTCCAGGAAAGGCGCAAAGCTACACAGAGAAACCCTGTCTCGAAAAACCAAAAAAAAAAAAAAAGTAAAAATGTCTTGAGTATAAAATTTATTTCTAGTAAATCTAATAAAATTCTAGATTTACATAATATATAAATAAAGTCATCTTACACAAATCTTTGGTGATAGGTTTCTTAGAAGTCATGTTTAGCCTGAGCCACTGGTGGGTTATATAACATACCACAACCAGATCCTACCAATGTGGAAGCAAGAGCTGAGGGGCTGAGGAAGTGGTGGCAAGTCCTTTATGTCTGTGTACATTAGCTTTCCCTCTCTACAACACAGGCCTGAGACAATAGACTGAAAAACAGTTTGTTTATTTTGAGTTTCAGGTCTGGAAGTTTAGGTCCATGATCACGGCTCCCATTGACTCGGGTGTGTGGCATACCTTGATGAAAGCCAGCAACAGAGATCCCTACTTACTTCCCTTACGACTAGAAAACGGAAGATGTGGAAAAAACAGCCAGTGAGGCTCTGTCACCCCTAATGGCATATGTACCTCTCAACAGGCCTCACCTCTCAAAGGTGCCAACTCACCTCTCAACTCCTCCCAGTTACACCAATCTGGAAGCACGTGTTTAATAAATGGGCTTTTCAGGGACATTCAAGATCAAAACTAACTTTTTTTTTTTTTTGGTTTTTCGAAACAGGGTTCCTCTGTGTAGCTTTGCGCCTTTCCTGGAACTCACTTGGTAGTCCAGGCTGGCCTCACAGAGATCCACCTGGCTCTGCCTCCCAAGTGCTGGGACTAAAGGCATGCACCACCATCGCCCAGCTTAGCAGCTTCTTCTAAGGATCATGTATTTAGTCTGTACACGCTATGATTGGTCACAGAAAAGAGAGGGAAATTTGAGGTTTGTAACTGTGGTGGTTTGAATAAAAATGTCCCCCACAGGCTCTTAGGGAGTGGCATTATTGGGAGGTGTGGCCTTGTTGGGATGGATAGGTGTGGCTTTGTTGGAGGAAGTATGTCACTGGGGGTGGGCTTTGGGGTTTCAGAAGCCTAAGCCAGGCCCAGTGTCTCTCATTCTTCCTGCTGCCTGGGGATCCAGATGTAGAACTCTCAGCTACCTCTCCAGCACCATGTCTGCCTGCATGCCACCATGTTTCTCCCCCCATAACAATAATGAGCTAAACCTCTGTACTGTAAACCAACCCCATTAATTATTGTTTCCCTTTATAAGAGCTGCCATGGTCATGGTGTCCCTTCATAGCAATAGAAACGCTAACTAAGACAGTTAACCCACTTTCCTGCATTTGAGCATCTCTCCCATAGGAAGTGGAAGATCACCCTGCCCCTGCCTTGTCCCCAACCCTGGGGGGTCGGAAATCCCCATCCCCATGACTCATGGTTAATGGCCAAGCAATACTTCAGGTTGCAATGTACCCTTCTACCAGCTCCTCCCAGCTCACTGTTGTCTGTGGTCCCACTCAGAGGCACCCACCACTCTGTGTTTCTCCCCAATGAATCCCTTGTGTGAGGTTTGTTGCATGGTGTGACTTTATGGTATTCCCTGGCTCCCTTTGCTAGGATACCCTTGCGCTGGAAAACCTTTTCAGGGACATTTTAGAAGTCGTCAATACATAGCTCTATCTATTTAGTAAAGATTTGCTGAGCATATACTGTGTGCCAAGTACTGATTTGGGCATGTGGGATCTAACACTGATGAAAAACAGTCTTGGTCCAAATAGTTTACCTTTTACCAGGCGAGACAGACAGTATGTAGCTGCTTTTTTATAGGGTGCTTGGGATGGGCATCTCTCTGATCAGGTGAAACCCCATCTCCCACCTACTGTTTCTTGACTAGAGCTCCCTGTCTACCCTCTCCAACTCTGCTAACCATGTGGCTTCAGAGATACAATATGAGAGACGAGAATTTAAATTATTAAGCAATTTTGTGTAGAATACTTTTCCAAGGGATAAGTTGGTAATGCAAACTATATTTATAATAAAAAGTTTTCTTATTTGGGGTAGATAAATGCATAGATATGAGTACATGTGTGCAATAGTTTTACTGTTTTGTTTGTGTTCATATAAAGGTTTTTAGGGCATGTGGGTGTTTTCAGGGGAGGATTCTGCATAGAGTTTGCCTGTTTTGGAAGACTCTTATTCAGTATCTTTATTAGAGATGATGCTGACCCCCCTATCCATGGGCTACCCAGAAGGACTATGATCCACAGCTACTGCCTCTTATCAATACCAAATTAAAAATGGATTTTCGATCCTCTTTCCTGCTTCACACCAAGGAGAGGGTGAATTAGAAATCACCTTGGAGAGTGGAATGGCAATGTGGCCTTTGTTCTATTTTTCTTCCTTTAACCCAAGGCTCTAAAAGCATCTGTGGGAAAATGCAAACATTGATTAACTCTTAGTTCTGACTGGACAGCTGTCTTCAGACTGATGCAGTCCCAAACTAGCCGCCAACACGGACTTAAAAAACAATTGCCATTTTAGAGCTACTTCAAGAAACAGGACTGGTAAACTCGACTGCCATGCTGTGCACAGCCTCCACAGCAGAGTGGAGGTCAACCACCCCGAGCTATCATAACTAACAAGTAGCTAAGGCTAATGTGACATTTGCACTGGTCTTGGGAAGGTGGAGAAAGAAAGGCGATGCCAAGCCTTCCTAGGCACTGTGACCCCGGAAGGCATGGGTTATTCCAGTATTTGCAGTGGGCAAATATGAATTTAACTCTGATTGTGACAACTCAGACCCAAGCAATTGCGCCTGATGCCATGCTCAAGACACTGCAGTCACTGGAGAAGCTGACCAGAGTTCTGACTAGAGCCCATTTGCCTCTTTTTCTGGATTTTCAGATATGTTCTCCAGTACTTTCATCTTTAAATGATGTGCTAGGCCTGTCATTCTTAAAAGGAGTGTGTGGCTCCTTTCACGTCTAAGGACAGGCTGCAGCACATGGAGCTGAAACTGGGTAGGCATGGAGTTAGGTGTGAGGGGAGCAAGGAAGCTGCAGCTGGGGCTTAGTAGCTGCCCCTTGGGTTAGATTTCTCCTCAGGTCAGATGCGAAGGCATCAGGGACTGATCTCAGACTGCTATCACTTTGCTCTGTTTTCTTCTGTTTTGCTAAATAAACTTATTTTAAATGGTGTCTCACCAGTAGATTCTTTCCATCAAGAAGACAGAGTCAAGGAATTATTTGCCCAATAGCATCCTTCTGATGCACACTGGCCCCGGTTCTCTCTCCCTTTCTCTCCTGTTTTCTCTCTCCCTCCCTCCCCACCTCTCTCTCTCTCTCCCTCCCCCCACCCATCCCCATCCCCACCCCCGCCTTGTGCCTTGTTCTCTAGGACCCAGCTCCATCTGAGTCCTTCAGGGAGAATCCCCAGGCTAGGCCAGCAATTTGATCTAGTACTGTGTAGGCTGCTGCTCACTGTTTATTTACTCACCCTTCATGAGACTCTGTCTTAAAAACAGAAACATAGAAAGGGCTGGGATACAAAGGGCTCTTGCTTAGCATGCACAAAGTCCTGGGTTCAGTCACCATTACAATAAATCAATAGCTGATAAAATTTCCAATCTCAAGGATTGCATCTCAGGCTCAGTTCCCCCTCATCATAGGGCATAGGGTGAAATACAAGGTCAATAAATTGGAACATCCTGAAAGAGGGGTGCCCCATCCAAAGTTATATGGCTTGGGAAAACTAAAGGACACCTTTCACCTCATCTCCCCACACTTTCCATGTTTCTCTCTCAGATGGGGACTCAATCATTCAGACTTACCCCTTGGTTACACACACACACACACACACACACACACACACACACACACACACACGAAGTGAATGTGTGTGTTTAAGATTCAATTCCTTAAACCACAAGTTAAGAAAATTGATCTTACTTGGTAATATGGCTTGGCCATAACCCTTCCTGGGTGATGTACATTCTGACTTGAGAATGGGAGTTTAAAGTTTACACCATGCTCCAGTTGGATCTCCCCATGTTCAGAATTCATGGACTTAAGGTACAGTCCTGACCTCTGTTAAATCTGTAAATTGGATCCTAATTCAGATGATATAATCCCACGGGTGAGTCTGCTTTACTACTCATATACTGACAAACTCCAAATTCATCAGGGGAATGAAATTAAAGTACAACTGGTATTATCATTAAAAAGGACAGTAAGACAATTTGAAAAATGTTCTTGGTGGCCCTTCAAAACAAGCTCCCTCCCCTCATAGCTTTTTTTGTTGTTGTTTCTAGTTGGGAAGGAAGATCACTCAACTGGGGAACAGGTCCACTGGGGACAGTTAGATACTAAGTTTAGGTGCTTCCAGGAAAGGCCTGGTTGACAGAACCCAGTACTGTTGAGTGATCCTGTGATGTCCAGATCCGTAGGTTCACACATTCCCAGGTTACTTCTAGCTAGTTAGCCCTCCAGCAAAAAGAAAATACTGTAAAGAATTCTCTGGGTCCAGCCTGCTATTAGTGGACCCAACAGTGAGTCTACCGGCCACCCTGCACCGTGTATTCTCTCCATCCCCTTTTCTATCCTAAGCCATAGTAAGAGGGCAGAATATCTAAGCTATAATAACAGATTATATATAGAAAATTTGGCTCTGCATATTTTCCTTATTGCTTATACTAAGATAATTTTCCTGTCCAGGATCTGTTATTTTAGCCAAATCTTGCTGGAATGTAATATTTGTGATCCTTAGACTCATGATATTAAAGAAGGAAAATAAATAAAAGCCTTTAAAAATTAAGGTAATAAATAGGTAACAGAGGAGCATACTCTCCAGCGATTCAGAACTGCCAGTTATAGGGCTGTCAGAAGTCCTGACAGGAGTTCTATGTACTATTTCTGCAATTTTTATATAAAATGGAAATTATTAAAATTAGATGTCATCCTTTTGTTCAAAACCTAACATAGACACACGTGTGAACACTTACGTGTATGTTCACAGCCATTTTATTCCTAATCCACTGATGTTACAAACTGCTGCATCCAACACAGATAATGCTTACAGTAAAATTTGCCCATTTTACTGTTCCATCTGTGAGTTTGGGCAACTGTACACAATCATGTCATAATCATAATTGATTTACAGCATTCTCTCATCCCAGACAAACTTCAGCCCTAAGCAACCACTTATCTGTCATAATAATTTTGCTGTTTGGATACATTTCACTTTTACTTGGAAAAAATAAGTCTTTGATACAGTTTTAGAAATAATTCATGTTGTTGATCTCCTCTTAATAAATTCTTGAGTAATAAAAGATCTCTATCTAAATCTAATGCTGTGGGATAATGCTTTTGGACACTGGTTCAATAAAATGCAGATTGGCCAGTAGCCAGACAGGAAGTATAGGCAGGATAAGCAGACAAGAATTCTGGGAAGAGGAAGGCTGAGTCAGGAGTCACCAGCCAGACACAGAGGATCAAGATGATAAGGCAGAACTGAGAAAAGGCACCAAGTCATGTGGCTGAACATAGATGAGAATTATGGGTTAATTTAAGTGTAAGAGCTAGTCAGTAATAAGCTTGAGCTAATGGCCATACAGTTCATAATTAATATAAGCCTCTGTTTATTTGAGTCTGAACGGCTGTGGACCGGGTGGGACACAGGAAAACTTCTAACTACACTCTAAAAATGACCTTTCTGTAGACACACAAGAAAAATTCTAAGTGATAAGAGAGTTTTAAGGAAATGTTAAAACAAGAATATTTTTCATTATGTGCTATATTTGAAAAACAAGGTCAACTTCTAAAGATGGTTTCATCAGTGGGAGGAAATCAAGTCATAATATAAGGCAAAACCAGAGAAGCTTTTGGAATTCTGTAGCTGTTTAACAATTACAAAAAGCTTGCACTAGGGGCACATGCCTATCATCCCACATGTGGTGAGTTTGGCATTAGCCCGGACTACATTGTAATACCCTGTCCCGAAACAAAAGAAATATCCCTAAACAATGGGCAGGGACATAAAGCTCAGTGGTAGACTGAATGCCTAACATCTAACTGTGCACACCCTCAGGATCATAAAGAAGGAAGATAAGTTCTGTTTTAGGAAACATTAGAGATTCCCTTTTGGAGGTCTAGCATTTTATTCACTTATTTGTCTTTTTGAGGCAAGGTCTCAAGGAAAAGCTAAAGTTAGTCTTGTACTTGCAGTGATCCTCCTGCCCCTGTCTCCATAGTGCTGGAAACCTAGGCAGGCACTAATAAGCCTGGGACCCTTGAAAGTCATTCAGGATTGAAACTAGATATTAACCTCCTTTAAGAAGGAAAAAAAAGTAAAATGTTCCACTGAAGGGAGCAGTCCTACTTGTCGATTTTTTTAAAAAATAGTAAGCAGCTGTTAGCAAATGGCCACTATTTAATACTGTGTGAATCCCTACTCCAGTAAAATACTATGCTCCATAGGCTGAAGGAGGCAAATTGCATGTTTTCTAACAGCAAACTGATCATTTTACCATTAACATGCTCTTCATTAGCTGCTGCAATCTGTTCCCTTCAACTTCTGTATCATCCACTGCTCCAAAATAATACAAACTTCCACTATGGAGTTTTACACACTTTCAGATATGTTCTATGCTGAAATAAGCATTTGATGGTTGAACATCAGACCAGTAAACAGTGGTAAGTACACAGAATACAAATAAAGGTTTATTGTACAAAATTAAGGCTTTAGATTTCACAGTTCACCAAAACTAAAAAAAAAAAAAAATTAGGTGACTCTTTCCCCAAAACTTCACTTTCACTTCCAACCATTAAAATGACTTGACCGAATGTAATCAAAATGAACATTATAAATAACACCAAGTCCTTTAAAACTGGCTATTCCAAATGTTATTTCTTGGCATAGGTAATCTTCATGGCATGGGATGGTGTGATCTTAAACCCTTGCAAAGCATCTCTGGCAGCTCCAGCCTGTCCATCATTTTCAAATTCTACAAATGCAATGTCATGCCTCCCAGGTACCAGGCGAACTTCCTTGAAACCAGGGAACCTAGGAAAAAACAAAAGCAATAAATACAGGTAAATGTATAAATAAATTTGTTGAACAACTCGTTATTGGTCTAGGAAAACTAATCATATTCAGTGAAGAACCCCAAGTAGGATGGAGGCATTTGTCATAAAATTTTACCATGAAGGGACTGCAAGAGTCCATGCTAATTCCAATACTGCCATTATGTCAAAAGTTTGTTTCCTGTTTTCCCCATCTATTAGAATAACTCCAACAGAGGAAATCTAGCTTTTTATTTGCTAAGCTTGGAGACAGGCTTCCATCCATGATTAGTCCCAGACTAAATCAATGACCCTACAGAGAACTAGTGCTGTGGGGTGACAAATGAACTCAGGCCATAGAAGCACTATTTGTCCTGTTAGGAGGCTCCGACAAAGAGATCTGTTTAGTAAAGAACTTACTGATTGAACAGCATGGATAACATCATCTCATTCGTCTCTTCTGGTAAGTTATTAAGGAACAGGATATAGTTTGGAGGGTAATCCGGGACCTATTAGAAACAAAAGGCAAAGTTAGCTTGTGAATATAAATAGCACTGTGAGGTATTTGGTTGTAAGAAACATGAAAACTCTTCTCCAGAGAACTCCACTGCAGCTTATATGGGCTTGTGAAACCTTAATACACCAAAACAAATGCTGAAAACAATGGCACCAGAGATACAGATAAAAACCTAACAACAGAGAAAGCCAACATTCAAGGTAGGATACCCCAAATCTGGAAGGTTATGATTCTGTGAAAACAGTATTTAATAAAACACCTGTATGTCAGTCATAACTGGGGAATTCTGTCATCTGGAACAGAATTCAAAAAGTCTAAAAACTAGAAAAGGCAGCAACATCGACTTCAACTGATAACTCTACTCAGCTAACACTCCAACATGTTACTCCTGGGCATCACTGTTTACTACCAGAACACCAGAAAATTAAAAACTAAAACATTACTATTGACAACCACAGCCTGCTGACATTTACTCTGTGTATGTTCCTGTGCATGCATGCGCACCATAAATGGCATGTACTGCATCTACTTATATAAAACAAGCAGAACATTAGATATTAAGTCACAAGTTTGCTACCCCATCCTGAGACTACAAGGAGTATATCAAGGATTTATATCTAAGACGACACTCTGTCTACTTGCTAATTTCATGGACAGAAAAGATAAAGTGTAAAAAACAATTAGTGAACAGCTCAAGATAGAGAATTAAGTGCTGGTATTTGTGAACTGACTACAAGTTCTGAAAGAGTTCAAAGAATAGAAAGATCATAAGAGCATGCAAAGGGTTAGGTATGCTGACAACTATCTGTAATCCCAGCACTCAGGAGGCTGAGACAAGAGGATTGAGACTTTGAGAGTAGCATCAAGACTGTTTTCTCAGTGGGGGTGAGGGGTACCAGGCAGCTCAGTAGAGCACTTGCCTAGCATAGGCTAGGCCCAGGATTCAGTCACCACCAACAAAGGAGAAGAAAAACTCAAAAGCACACAACTCTAATATTGTAACTTTCTTGGTGGTACAGAGAAGATGTGGATGTCAGATTCTGTAATTTAGACTCTACTCAAAGCAGAAAACTTAAAATAAATAAATAAATAAGACTGAATATTTGTGCTGGGGAAGTGGAAGCAAGGCTAATTACAAACACTGTTGCCCAATGTGACAAGGCGGTGTGTCAGCCATCTGGGATGGAAACAGTTCCTCATAAAGGCCTCTGACCTTATGTCTGTAAAGTCCTGACTGCACCCTACCCCAAATAAAAGCCCTTTCTCAGCCCTCACAAATCCTGCCTTTTTGATCTTATCACTGACTCATGGGAAACAGGAATCAGGCCAGGTTTTCTTCATCTTAGGCAAATTTAAATGTTTTTAAGGGTGAGTTTCTTAAGTGACAAGACAATTATGTCTTGCGAATGGATTCACTTGCTTTTGCAGACATGCACACTATTTTATATTGCCATAATTTTTATCATCTTAAGGTAAGCACCCCATGGAGGAAAACATTACCTGAGGATTTGGCACTGCGTTTCCTTGAGTATTAGCTGAATTTGGTGTTCCCTGCAAAAAAAGAAATTGGGATTAAGAAATGGTTAAATCTCAGTCATGCTAAAAAAAGCAGCTACAATTTATAACATAAAGCAACATTAACTGTAAAAGATCCCCTATTCCATTTTACTTTAAGATCCCTACGTCTTCACTATTTATTTACTTAGTTTGTCAATTATTTCTGAAATGTATGTCCTTCAACTCTACTGACCACATCATAAAACTTAACATTTTTCTTTCTTCCTTTTTTTTTTTTTTTTTTTTTTTGGAGACAGGGTCTCACTATGTAGGCTCAGCGGTCCTGGAGTTTACTATGTAGACCAGGCTACCTGCCCCTGTCTCCCCAGTGCTGGGATTAAAGGTGTGCATCATTACGACTGGCTTTAACATTTAAACTTTAAATGACGGGGAGACCAAACATGCTGTGAGTTGAGGCAGGAGGGTCATGAGGGTGAACAGACTCCATCTAGGCTACAAGAGCTGAGATCTTATATCAAAAAAATAATGATGGAGAAAAGGAGCAGTCTTACTTTTTAAAAACAATTTCATATAATCATTATACGTCAAACTGATTTAAATAATTTTTAACTCGAAAGTAACTCCTGTTTTTGGATAATTTCACTTTTATTATAGATTTCAAATTTTGCTTCTTGAATTGTTCAAAGAAGCTCTGAGTAGGATACTCATGATAAAGAGATTACATATGATAATACGTAATTATAGGGAGAATTTAAGAAAAACGCCAATAGGTATGTCTTAGATAAAGATATCATTAAACCAGTATATAAATCAGTAAATCAGATTGAAACTGTTTATTGCAAATCTCCATGAGTAAAGGCTGATATTTAAATTGTTGCCACAGAGAAACCTGATCCAGTGTACACACCAATCCGCCCCTGCCCACTTCCCCACCCCCAATCCCACACATGGAATTATCTGTCTCACCTGGCCAGGCTTTTTGTTTGCAGCTGCTGCAGCCTGTTCCATGGTTTTAGCTTTCTTCTTTTCCTTTTTCTTTTCCTTGTCAGCAAAAGTGCCACGCATTTTAGATATTATGTCAGAATCTGTTTTTGCATATTGAATTCGCTGTTGTAGTTATAGGAAAACAGATTACATTACTTTGTGGAAGGCTGTTTACAATAGTTGTTAACCTTTTAAATCCAGGTACATAAATACACTGCAAACTAGTTTTAAACACATCTTTAAGGAAATCATTGAAAGAAATTAGTGTAAATAAGTAGTGGCCTATGATTCACAAGCAAGGCACACTATACTCAACTGTCTTTATTAAAGGACAAATGAAGCCGGGCGGTGGTGGTGCACGCCTTTAATCCCAGCACTCGGGAGGCAGAGCCAGGTGGATCTCTGTGAGTTCGAGGCCAGCCTGGACTACCAAGTGAGTTCCAGGAAAGGTGCAAAACTACACAGAGAAACCCTGTCTCGAAAAACCAAAAAAAAAAAAAAATAAAAAAAAAAAAAAAATAAAGGACAAATGAAGTTTAGCTGGGTAGCTCAGACCTGTAACCTTAGCTACTCAAGAGGCTGTATCAAGAGGCCTGCCTGGGCTATGGAGCAAGTTCAAGGCCAGTCTGAAAACTTTAGTCAGACTCTATTTCAAAACAAAAGGTAAAGATACACCTGAGTAAGAGAGCACCTACTTATCATGTATGAAGTCCCAAGTTCAATTCCCACCACTATCACAAAACAAACAGAAAGCAAATAGACCAGACTGCATATGGTAAGAACAAGGTTGAAGATGCTACATTACCATTTTTTTCTCACTTAATAACAACGAAAACCTATCAATGACCAACAAAAGGATCAATGTATCAATCAACTGTGGGATGTAGCATGGTATTTGTTACTTACAGTGACTAAAATACTGAAATCTGTAAATGACTTTCCTTTGAATCTATCATTTTCAAAAAATAAATTCAGTACTTAAATGTTAAAGTGGCTTGAGAGGAAATAGAAAGACAGATATCAGCTGCAATGACTGGGTTTAATCTTTTTATACCAGACAGAGCCAGCAAGATGGTAGGCACCTGAGATCAGTGAGCATTCAAAAACACTGGCCTATACTAGTGTTTTGCCAACTACAGTGCCCAATTCAAGAGCCCAGAGAGCCTGACACAGAAAGTCTAGGTAAGGCTTCAGATTCTACACTTTTTGTAAGCACAAAAAGAATGATGACCAGCTTTGAGGAGTGGGGCTTTAGACATACTAAATTTGCCACATGACTAAATTCATCACTGATGAAATGGCCAAATATTTCTGCCAATGACCTGTACAGTTACCTAGGGTATAAATGTCTCCACGTTGCAATTTCCATTCAACCAAACACATCTCCAGAGCTCAAAGAGTCAACATTTTTCCGATGATATCAAAACACAATAATCCTACAAAGTTTTCCTAACCCAAGAATCTGATATTTGAAGAGAAGGAAAGGTATTTTAAAGTAGTGTGGATCATAAGGCAAGAATTTCTTAAAAGCAAAGCAATTCTCTTTCCCCTCCTTCAGCTAAGAAAGAATATACCAGGGGAAGAGGAAAGCAGGCAACATCCCTCAGAACCCCAGGCTTTGCTTGGCCAGTGTGGACTAGTCTACTGCAGCAGATGCCAGACAGCTCTGCTAACCTTCCCATCATGTTCTAACAGACAAGATGGGCTGAGGCTCAAATTGTACCACTCAGAAGAAGTCAGTTCTCTGAGGTCCCCAACCCTGATCCTGACCTGAACAGATCTTGGGTACCTGACTTCTCTGCCGTTGTAACAGTCACCTAAGAAAGTATCTGATCTCAACAACGGCTCTTAACAAGACATAATGCAGCCTGTCCAGGGACACTCAGCACTATAGAGATACTGCTAGCTGAGACGCTTTTAGCTTCTAGTGTGTAGAGGCCAGGAATTCTGCTAAACACCCTAGTGAACAGTAAAAACCCCAAAGTGCCATTACTAAGAAACTCTGGTCCAAATACCATAAAAAAAATTACAATTCATCTCTCAAAGACAGCAAAGAGCAAGATTTAAATTTATTCCAAAAGGATCATGACAGAAATCCTCAGGATGGCAGTTCTACTTTATTGAGGTCATTTTGTTCTGAGTTAGAAATTGAAGCAAATTCTGCTCACTGCTGATCTAACCTAAATGCACTTAAATACAAGCAAGGCAGCTCAAAGCATCTTATTATCCCGTCAAGAGGCTGGAGATCTGGCAGCTCCTCCTAAGCTTCCTCAAGGCAGACAGAGAACAGGCCTCTAAAATACCTTCAGTGTAAAATCAGGCCAAAGGACATTTTGTATTCATTTAAATGAGTTTGCAAGATGAGGCTAGTGCCAAACACAGCAAACATTTCCTCCTGTTTTGTATCCAGTTAACCAGGTACATGCTAACTTGCCATTTCAGTTCAGCCAAATTGCCTAAAGAAGTCTTGTGCTCCAAGCAAAAGCGATCTAGATCATGCAAATTCTTCATATTAAGTAATAGTAACTGACTTCAGGAAACTTCATCTTACTGAACTCAGGGAACAGTGTGATACAGGACAGAGGCTCCAAACGGCTGGTGACAGCTAACACTGTAGGGCTGGCTGGAGCAGTCACACCCATTCACCTGGTTTCACTGCTTTGTCTAAGTAAAGAGCTACAACAAAGGAGCATCTGGCTATCGAGGCCTGCAATCTTACTACCTGACCTATTGGAAAAATATGTTCCCTCCTAGCATATAAAAAGCATGATAATCCTAAATGTTTAATTAGTGTCCGAGCACTGACATTACCACTGGCTATAGGACTATATCCTATACGAACAAGATTAGCTCATGCCCAGTCCTTCTCTGCGGTGATGTTTGTACTGAAATGTGGTGATATTTTATTCTTATGTTATTAATACAGTTTGCCTGGAGATCAGAGGAAATTGCAAACCGTTTTAAGTAAACACAAAAGACAGGCAGTGGTAGCACATGCCCTTAATCCTGATCACTTGGCAGGCAGGGTCTCTGTGTGGTCAAGGCCACACTAGGGAACAGAGCCAAGTGTGCTGACACGCCTTTAATCCCAGTACCAACCAGAGACCTGGAGGTCTATACAGACAGGCAGTGACAAGAAAGTGAGGTAGCTGGGCTAAGAGCCAATGAGAGGGCAGAACAGCAAGGCAATAAAAGCCTGGGTAGACAAGAAGTTGTGGCATTTTGGAAGCTGCAGAGCTGGTGAGGTAAGGTTGGTTGGTGGCTCTCACTATGTCCCTGATCTCTAAGGCTTTTACCCCTATACTTGGGTCCATGTTTTTTATTTAATAAGACCGCTTAGAAATTTGGCTACATTTCTCCATGATAGGCAGAGACCAGACCATCAGTGTGTACTTACATACTGCCTTTAGGCCAAATCCAGATCACGACCTATTTTTGTACAGCTTGTGAGTTAACAATTATTTTAACACAATTTTAAAAGGTTCAAAACACATAAACAGGACAATAGGTATCAAAAACTTTATGTGGTCAGCAAAGCTTGTAATATCTATCTAGTTCTTCAGAGTTTCTGCCGATCTCTGGATGATACCAATGATTCACCTTGCTCATACTTTAGTGGCGGTACAAGTAAATAGAGATGCAGAATCTGTTAATGGCAGAACACGAATGAGGATTCAGATCCTCTAAGCCACAGGCCTTGGTTTTCCAAGACCTCTTTACATGACTTCCCAATCCCAGCAGAAAGGCAGCATGAATCTATAGTCAGGGTACAGTGTATGTACTTAAGACTCAAGACTTTTCCAATACGCTATCACCCAGTCTTACACCCATGGGCCTCCTAAATGAGTTCCTTGCAGGCCCTTTGGACCACCCCTTCCTACGTGGTTATTTGAGACAGAGTTTCATGTAGCCTGGGATATCCTTGAATTTCTGACCCTCCTGCCTCCACTCCCAAGAGCTGAGAATCCATGCATGTACCCCTACCTTAATTTCTAATGTTTTAAAAAATCTTGTCTGTGTTGCCATCCTATCTTTCAGTGATGTACATAATATATTTTAGTTTTGCTCATTTTAACTGGAATAAGTTAATAATTAATTCAGCTCTGGTAGTGCATTTTTATAAAAATATCTATATAAGCCTTCTGAGGTAGTGCACACCTATCATCCCAGCACTTAAGGGGTAGAGTCAGGAGAATTAAGCATTGGCTACCTAACAAGTTTAAGGCTAGCCTAGGTTACCAGAGACCCTGTCTCAAAATGAACAAAATACCTATGTGTTCAAAAAAACCCCAAATTTCTCTAAACAAACAGAAAGCAATAGCCTAAAATCAAGTCCATACTTAAAAACCTACTATAACACTCAATAATAGTAATTAAAGCAGAAATAATAGGATTAGCTCACCATTGGTTTACCATAAAATGGAAATCCTTGTAACTGTCTCAGAGCATTTGTGGATGAGCCCAGTTCCTTAAATATAACAAAAGCCTGACCCCTCATCTTCATGGTCTTTAAAGCCACAATATCTACCACGTGTCCAAACTGAGAAAACAGGGCATACAAGGATCTCTTCAATTCTGTGCAAATAAGAAGGAAAACAATTTGTGAATGTAACAATAACTAAGTTCTTCATAAAATAACAATACAACGACCACCTCTATCATTCACTTATTTATAGTAATTTGAAAAAAGAAACATACCACACTATTCTCATTAGCTACCTAGTTTAAAGTTATTTGAAACCATTTATGAGTTAAAACAATTCAAAGCATTTGGATCCCTGTATATTCTTACATTAAAAAAACCCTAAAGTTGTGTAAAATGGGATGAACCATTTGCAGGGCATTAGGAAAGAAGACTAGATGAGACATTAAGACACATTCTCAAGACACAGGTGAATAAACACATTTTAGTGGTGAACAAGTATTTTTAAAAGAACATACCTTCTTTTTTAATTTTATCATTCATATTGTTGATATAAATAGTGTGATTTGGTCTGATATCCATGTTTGCGTAAAACTTTTCAAATAGCCTAAAAGACAGACATAATCCGTTATTAGCAAGGAGGGTTAAATCATACAGGCATACGACACGACAAAAGACAAGAACCATTAGTGTTAAATTATTTTTCCAACCCCAGATGTCAGAAAATGTCAGCTGGCACTAGACAATAATTTCTCTCTAGCCACTACTGGGGCATTTTAGACAAATGGAAAATAGTTCTCAAGATCAAAACTCAGTAGAACATCAATACATAGGCAGATTCAGAAACATTTTATTTAAGGTACTACTTTTTCTAACCCCCCAACCCCCATAAATGATACTGTCTTTCCATCTACATAATGAAATAACTTTTTTAAAGTGTATTTACTAATTCTTTGAGAATGTCATACAATATATTTTGATCATATTCACTGGAAAATTTTTTTCAGTGAAATGATTTAAACATCTATGTAAGAAACTAGTAAACATACATCTAGTTAAAAAAATCATTGTAGGCAGGGAGGGGTGGGGGTGGGGGTGGGGTGGTGGCACACGCCTTTAATCCTAGCACTTGGGTGGCAGAGCCAGGCGGATCTCTGTGAGTTCAAGGCCAGCTTGGTCTACAGAGTGGGATCCAGGACAGGCACCAAAACTACACAGAGAAACCCTGTCTCGAAAAAAACAAAAAAACAGAAAACATTGTAATAGAACAATAATAAAATTGTGCACTCACAAACCTATTTATTTAAACGTTATTTTTATTATTATTATTTTTCGGTGTGTGTGTGTGTGTGTGTGTGTATGTATGAGTGTTACTATGAAAGCTGGGGTCAGAGAACAACCTTTCACCACCAGGTTCTCTTCTCCCACCATGTGAGTCTCAAGGGGCCCAACTCAAAAGTGTTCAAGGTTGGCAAAAAAAAGTGCCTTTACCTGCTGAGATATCACAACAGCCCTCAAATGTATTTCGTAATTTATATACACCTTAATACATATATCACCTCCAAGGCTGACTTCGGGATTTCCTCTCACAGACCTGAAAGGAATCATACTCTCAGAAAACAATTTAGAAAGACAGTTAAGAGCTCAGATTCTGGCACTAATGAGATCCGGATTTAAATTCTGTTTATGCTTTTACAATCTGCTTCGCTGAGGGGCAAGTTCCTTAGCATCTCGGGTTCTCAGCTACACACTGGTGATAGTAACAGCACCTACAAAGTGGAGCCCAGAAGACTAAATGAGACGTATATCGAACGGTCTGCATCAGTATGCATCTAAAGTTCATTACTGAGGGTCAATATGCTGTGCTGACTTACAAGAAGGACCTGTACTACGCAGCTAACAGTTAACAGGAACCTGGAGAAGGGCTGGGGTCTCAGGGAAGAGAGGGGCCAGAGCAGAAGCTCTGGCAGTAGCTCCTGCGGGCTGAAAGAGCGCAAGGGCACCCGAAATGCCCTCCACACACCCAAAAGGCTGCTGGGGGGCGGGGGAGGGGCGGAGTGTTCAGCGAGCCGTAAATGCCCCCCAAGCAAACAACCGGCCGATCTTTACCCCAGAGCTAATTCCTATGCGCCAGCTAGAGCCTCTTCACACACCGGTCAATCTGCCCAACAGGCGGACCCCACGGGCGTTAAAAACCCCAGTCACCCCGCCGAGAACAGGATGCGACACTGGGCCTCGACCCGCCGTAACGCGGGTCGCCGTCCCTTCCTCCCCTACGTCGCACCCTCCACGGAGCCGGAGACCGTGCAGCCGACGACACCCTCGCCCTTGCTGGCTCGGTTCCGACTGGGAGGATCCGGCCAAGCCCCGAGACCACCCACAGCTAAGAAGAGCCCCGACTAACCCACCTGAAGTCCGCGCCGTCCCGCCTGAAGCCAAAACCGGAAGAGCTGCCTGGCGCCGGAAGAGCGCCGCTACACTCCTCAATCGAACGCAGATAAATCGACGCGCCGAGCACCGAGTCAATCGATGTCTCCTGGCTCGGGCAGCCTGCGCCAGAAATCTTTCTGCGCATGCGCATCCCTGGAGGCTGGGGAAGAAGGTTACTGTGGGAAGGGGAGGAACTGGATGGCATCAAATTAGGATCCAAGGACTAATCTGTGAACAGGAGAGAAGGGAAGGGAAGGGAAGGGAATCGGTTTCCCTTACCGCGATTTTGAAACTTCCCAACTTTATGCTATGGTACAATTCTACAGGAGCAGTCCCTCAGCCTGTCTCTAAGGGCAAGTGGGCAAACTTTTCAATGGGTTCTGGCCAGCTTGGCTTAACACCACCTTTAGAATGGCCATTGTCAGTTCCGGGATTCAGTCTCAGATTCTAGGAGTCTGAAAGAACACTCCAACACTGTGCAGAGTACATCTTAGATGCAGCCCTGGCTTCCACCCAGAGCAAAAAGAATTAGTGTTTGCTGGTCCTCTCACCAAGCTGCGGGAGTACACAATCAACCTAAATTTATGATTAAACTCCAGAAACAGTTAACTTCCCTCCACCCTCCCAATGTCTCCTTTCCTCACAAAATGCCTGGATTTTTCTAGGCTAAAGATTGGGGTAGTGACCAAATTGGTTGGTTTCATCATCTTGAGGTTTCTATTTTTTTTAAATCACCAGAAGTTGCACCATAGAAATAGTGTCTGCTCTGTTCACTGAAGTAATTAGAAGAATGACTGATAATAAATATGCATTGGATGAATGAATGAAGTCTCAGGGAAGTTAGGCTACAATAAAACAAGTGTGATTTCTAGTGAAGATCCTGTAAGTGTAGGAAATGATGTTAAACAACCACAGAAAAAGTGTTCATTATATAAATATAGAAACCAGTCTGTTTTGTAAAAAGAATATTGAGTATATTCTTTAAAAAAGAACATCAAGTAAATATAAAAATAATTTCTAAGGAACAATAAGGTGCCCTACCCATTAACACACACATCTGAGCAGCTAATTAACTGCTCGGTGATAATGAGAGCAGCTCAAATGCTTTTTCTGAAATAAGCTATAATCTGACTTCGTTATATAAATTGATCTGGCCAATAGTTCACAGCTATTTTATACAAGAAAATTTACAAGCACGCAAAGACATTCTACCTGAGAAGAAAATAGCCCAGAAAAAAAGAGCTCTAAAGACACCACACACTATTAACAATTGAATCGCAACTACTGTACATTTTACAATGCATGGAGGAAATTGTCTAATGACAAGTCAGTTCACATGATTTTTTCCAGCTTCATCTATAAAAAGCCAGCACATTTTCATACCCATGAGCAATCACTCTGGGCTTTTCTGAATGGGTCTTTGATGGTTTCCCGAATGACCAAAAACTAAGAATTGAAATTGGGTCTGGTAGGGAATGAAGGGGAAAGGGGCTTTCCTGGTTCTTTGAGAAACCTTGTAATCACCCAATTCCATATCTGAAGTATTGGGAAGTTACGGCATCCAGTGATCACATATACATGCAGTGCAAAAGAACTTGAATGCGCCGGGCGGTGGTGGCGCACGCCTTTAATCCCAGCACTCGGGAGGCAGAGCCAGGCGGATCTCTGTGAGTTCGAGGCCAGCCTGGGCTACCAAGTGAGTTCCAGGAAAGGCGCAAAGCTACACAGAGAAACCCTGTCTCGAAAAACCAAAAAAAAAAAAAAAAAAAAAAAAAAAAGAAAAAAAAAAAAAAAGAAAAAAGAACTTGAATGCATTATAAACAAATCTTCTATAATCTCTGACCTCTTGTTGGTCAAACTAGGAATTAGAAGTAAAAAACTCACATTTTTGAAACTAACAGAAGAGAACATATGTTTCCCTGGAGTTCTGCTCAGTTTAGACTCATAATTCTGTTAGGCAACAAGATTTACTTTCCAACGAAACAGGTTTTTTTTATCAAACTAAACCCAGAGGCAACGTTATAACCACCAAATACAAGCTTTATGCACCTACTAACGATAAAATTTGCTTATTTTTGGGGCAGCAGAAAAATGACTGCAACCAGTTGGGAATAAAACTGTGTCAAGACACCTAAATTATAAAGATGGCAACTGCACTGTCTCAGTGGCTCTCAATACACATATATTTTCCCTACTTTATCTGCACATGTTTTATGTTTCTCATTAAATGTTTTTCAGTATCTTGCAGCAGTGACTTTGGGAAAGAGACATGCTTAAAGGAAAAGGCACCATAAAACTATACTAGATGTATTTTGCCTTATTTATGCTAGATAGAGCCAGGAAATGTATGGCAACTGGCTTGCATCTTCTTTCTCCCTACAGGTAGTAATTACACTAAAAATTTTATGTAGAGTGAATTATTTTCACAACAAGCATTAAACAAATCTAAGTGTTATTGTTGAACATCAAATCAAGTTTACATTTTCTCAGCTGTTTGAAATTATGTTCAGCTAAATTTTACCAAAAAGCAATCCTCTCTTTCTTTTCAGGGAAGAAATAAATTTGTGCAATTAATTTCCTTTCATTGCATTTCACCCTTGCTTTTTTAATCCTTCATAAGCACACTCTTATTTTTACAGCCAATGAATAAAGGAATGAATGCCAGAAATGACTATTACTTACATGTAATGCTATGTCCATGCTAGAATGCAGTGTCATTCTTGTATATCAAAATAATACCCTCTCCCTGGAATGGGTGGGATCTTAGGTTGGCTATGATAACATATGCATTCCATAAGGTTTACAAACAAGTTTTTTTTTAATTTGGAGATCTGAAAATCAGCCCAAAGAAAGACAAGAAGAAAATCAAAACACTTTGGTGTTCTGTTTTGTGAGACATGTAGGTTACACACAATATACTATTGTCTGTCCTCACAGAAGTCAGGTAAAGTAACATCACACAGTTCCCTAGCAGACCATAATGTGTCAGTCCTTCAGACCTAGGTAATGAACTCAATGATGTATGGATAAAAAATTTAAGTGGTGATACATGCCTTTAATCTCAGCATTCTGGAAGTAGAGGCAGAAGGAAATCTCTAAGTCCAAGGCCAGTCTGGCCTGCATAGCAAGTTTCATGCCAGCCAGGGTACAGTGAATCCTAGTCTCAAATACAGGACACAATTTGTAAGTATAGTTAGTTATGTTTTTCCTATGATTCACCACTGCAAATTATTTGGGATTCTTAGGTCTATAACTAGTTGAAATCTAAGTTTTTAAAACATACACAATGTATTACTGATTTTGTGGGCATAGTACAGATATCCAGATCTAATGCTCCTCAAATGTTAACATGTATGCAGTTTTCCTAGAGTTTTTGCTAAACAAAAAATCTGATTTAGTGAGATTAGAATAGGGCATGAGAAGTTTTGACAATAAAATCCTAGGTGATACTGATGCTTCTAGACCTGTACTACATTTTAGGTACCAAAAAAAAAATCTCTCATCTTAAAAATATACAGTTGATTACCCCAGTATTGCATAGTAGTTAGCTATAAAGCTGCAGAGATAACAGCAAATGCAGAATACTAGTGTCTTAGCACATATCCTGTTGCTATAACAAAATACCTAAAATTGGGTAGTTTATAAATAATAAAAATTTATTCAGCTCAGTATTCTGGAGGCAGGGAGTCCAGAGCATGACATGAACATCTGATCAGCATCTGGTGAGGGCTTCCTTGCTACATCACCATATGGCAGAAGGCAACACAGTTGAAGCAGAGCACATAGGCCAGAGAGATTTCCTGTTATAACAAAGCCACTCCCAAGATAACCTACTAAGTCACTGCTTTAGTGGTTTAAATGAGAATAGTGCCCATAGGCTCATATATTTAAATACTCGTTTCCCAGTTGGTGAAATTGTTTGGGAAGAATTAGGAGATACGGTGTTGCTGGAAGTGGTGTGTCAATGAGGGTGGGACTTGAGGTTTCAAAGGACTCTTGCCATTCTCAACACTGTTTCTCTCTGTCTCTATCTCTCTCCATCTCTGTCTCTAAGTCTCTCTGTCTCTGTCTATGACCCTGCCCCCTGCTTCCTACTTGCCGATAAAATGTAAGCTCTCTGCTATTGCTCTAGCACAATGCCTGTTTGTCTGCTGCCATGCTCCCTACCATAATTGTTATGGACTCTAATCCTGTGAAACCATAAGCTCCAAACAAACTCTTTCTTCTACAAGTTTGGTTGGTCATGGTTTCTTACCACAGCAATAGACTAAGACACCCATTCATTCACTAGTTGATTAATCCACAGCCCCCATGACACAGTCTCTTCCCAAAGGCCCCACTTCTCAATACTGCTGCACTGGGAACCAAGTTTCTAAATGAGGCTTGGAGGGGAGAAACCCTGTTCAAACCATAGCAGCCACCTTCTTATGTAAACACAATATTTATATAACAACTATTTATTTCAAAAATGGTACCAGTTATCTTGTTTCCTTTATTTAAATGTCTTCCAATGGACAATGAAAAATAAATATTAAGAGGAAGAAGTCTAGAGTTTTTGATCCTCTTCAACAAGTGATTGCTTGTTTAAGAGTTCTTACTTTCCAAATTATAGTGGTCATTAATATCGTGAGAAAACAAAATCCAATTCTTGTCTTATACCAGGCTCACAGAAGACATGTGCTACACTCTGCATTTTGAAAAATTGGCATTGCCATGCACTTTCTTCAGATAAAAAGTTTAAGAATATGAGGATGCAGCACTAACAGACCAGTATATCTGAAACACAGATGCTGAGGGACAAGGCAGAAACACAAAAGAGCCAATGCAGAGTTTGCCAACTGCTTTTGGTCTTTGTTGTCTTGGAAACATATCCCAAAATACAACTTCTGTTTCTTCTAGGTCTCTGAGTAACTTTAATGATTGGAAAACATCTTCTCCCTTCTATCCTCCATCAACAGTTCAAACTGATCATGTAACATATACCAGAGATAATTCATTGTGCTTTAGGAGGTATTTGTTAATATACACATAGCTTAA